TCTATTCTATTCCTTTATTTTTTCTATTCTATTTTATTCTGTAAGTTTATATTATATAATATAATTATATATATTATATTCCATTCTATTCTGTTCTGTTTTACTCTATTCTTTTCTATTCTGTTTGAAATTCGAATTTCAGGAGATGGCTATATTCTTTTATTCTATTCTATTCCATTCTATTCTGTTCTATTGCATAATTTTCTATTCTATTCTGTTTTACTCTTCTGTTCTTTTCAAAATTAGAATTTTGGAAGACGGCTATATTCTATTTTATGCTATTCTATTCAAATCGCTTTTATTTTTTTCTCTTCTATTCTGTTCCTATTCTATTTTATTCTATTTTCGAGATTTAAATTTCATAAGACTGCTATATTCTAACATGAATACAAATAATCTTTGACGTAAATCTGTAATATTCAGCAATATGTTTGTGCTTCAAATTTGTTTTTGAATTCGATTTAGTTTTTTTTATTGCGTTTGAATTTGATTTGAATTTTGGACTAAATTTCATTTTGTTGTTTTGGATTCTTTTAAGTCCGTTACCATTGTAATTTGGAAATTCAGATACATCCGAATCTCTGAATAATGAAAATTTTGGCCAAATTTCAATTTGGAACAAAACAAGCTGCACATGTCTAGCCATGTTTCAATTTAAAGCAACAGATAGAATTCTGTGATTGGACGAATGGCCCTTCAGGTGACTGGTAGGCCAGGTGACAGGGCTCTCCTTTTGGCTTTTTTTTTTTCCTTTCATTCATTCGCACAGCATTCAATTTGCATCAGAATCCCAAAGCAAGCTAAGCATAATGTATATTTATAAAGTATATGACTATGGTTTATAAATGTACAGTTCGCTTTGGTCTTTATTCTCTACAATCACCTTGTCTTGTGCCAGTAGGAGCCCCCCTGCATCCTCAGCCATGTACACTGAGAGCTGTGATACAAGACAGGTGGGAAGAAGATATTGTACCAAGAGTGAGATTCCAAAGAGAGATCAGAGCCAGGAACTTGCTACAGAGCTTCCCACGAGATACAAGAAGCCAGTGGCTGAGCATGAGACCTACACCTCTGACATACACTTTTAAACTGCACAAACCCCATAATCCAATTGTATAAATGTGCCATAATTAAAAAGTCATATATGCCCTGTTCCCACTTCACAGTAAAATGTACCTGGTAATCCTTGTGAAATATTGGTATCCAATTGTTGTGTTTAGGAGACAGGTCACCTTAATGGTGACTATGGCTGATAAAGTGCGGTGTGTTCACAAAATGACCACTGTGCTATTTTGTGCCGGCAGAAATGTCAGGAACAGAATGAATAATATCACAGTAGGTTGTACAGCATTTGAGACAAGTCTGAGCCTCCGGCATGAAACAATTGTTAGATCTTACGGACAGACACTTAGAGCAAGTGGCTGCACAAATCCCCATCGACATGTATTTAACAAAATCCATCAGCCAGAAACCATTAAGATTTCATACATAAGTGACAGGTGGACTTGATGGAGATTTTGTATTTTTCATCCCAAATCTGACCCTCTCCACTGATTTGATTATTTATATATAATATCAAAAAGAGACACACAGACAAGCACTGTATATATTTTGCATCGCACCATAACAAATCTCTGCAAAATGGCCCTTAATTTGAGCTCCTCTGCTTCCCGGGGTGTGGGTAATAACACAGTTAGAGGTCCTGAGTTAATCGCCGAGACAGCAGAGTGATGGATGTGTAATGACAGAGCCCTGCGTGCAGAATGAGCGCAGCTTGAGCTTGTGTGCTTGTTAAACCTGACGTGTGCATTGTGTTCACTTAAAAAATCCAATTTTTTTTTCTTATAGAGGCCTATTTATAAAGGGCAACAACAAAATCATTCTTTTTCATTTTGCTACACCACTATATTTAACAAAAAAAAAAGATTATAACAAGTTTATAAAAGATTGGTACAAGTGTTGAGGAAGTAATGGTAAAGATTAAAAAAAATAGCAGAAGGATAGATAAAGGGTAACCATAAGTATTATGCTGAGAGAATAGACAATGCTTGGAACAGGCTTCCAGCAATGGTAGCGAGTCAACCAACTAAGTGAATTTTAACATTAGGTGTCCTTTTATCATGCTGCGGTAAATGACCGCAGCTCAGTTCTCTGGCATTCTCAGAGGAAAGAGTTCTCCTCTGAATGCCTTTTTATGAAGCCATGTAGATCACTAATCTGAATGAAGGGAGAAGCGATCAACAAACGCTCTGAACGCTGGAAAACGGCTGCTTTTGCTATAATCTTGCGAGATTGCAGTAAGAGATCAGTCAAACACCGTTTGCTAAGCAGCTGTAAATTACCTCTGCTTCATTTGCGGTTCTCCCGATTTTCCTCCTCCTCTGGGGTGGAGAATCTGGAAGGAATACGCAGATCGCCAGTGAAGGGCTGACATCGCTCCTTCATACGCTGGCAGTCTGTGTGCTGAGATGATCAGCGGAGAACATGTTCTCCGCTGATCATCTCTATTTCCTAAACCAATAATGATCGGAGATCAGCAACGATCCTCAGGATCGCCGCCGATCTCTGTTTCATAAAGGACACCTTAGTAGGAACATCGTCTATCCCAAGACCAAAATGTTAAAGAGGAGCTCCAGTCATATGTTTATTTATTAAAAGTCAGCAGCTGACTTTTAATAGACAGACACTCACCTGTATCAGGATCCAGCAATGTTCTCATCTGAGCTGTTCTTTTCATCTGCCTTTTGTGCCTGGCACCAACATCTCAACTGTGGCCACCCAACTGTGACAGCTTGCTTCTTCACAGCCAGGTGCCCACTGCGCATGTGCAAGCTGCTCCGTGCTTTGTGAATGGTCCTGCAGTCTTCTGGGACTTGTGACGTGTACCAGAAGACTGCGGGGAAGGAGGGGGGGAGGAGAACCTCCGCTGGGATCACCTTGGCTATTTAAGCAGGAGGAGGAGCAGGTAAGTGTCAAAATGAGACATGCTGTGTAAATATAGCAGCTGTTAAAATGCCTTTCTGACAAAGGGGAGATTTACTAAAATTGGTGTACACAGAATCTGATCCAGCTGTGCATAGTAACCAATCAGCTTCTAACTTCAGCTTGTTCACTTACCCCCGATTCACATCTATGTGGCCGTGCGGGCCGCGTTTTGCATGGGCTCGAGAGCCCATTCATTTGCATGGACTCCCATGCCCGTGACATGCAGGGAAGAAGTCCCTGCATTTCTTTGGAAAAAACCTCGGTTCCCAGTGCGGTTGCGTTTTCCAGTGCGGGCGGCGTGCCATTAGAAATAATGGCACCCGCCCGCGGGTCCGCATTTCTCTGTGCCGGTGGTGCGGCTGCATGGATTTTCATGCGGATCCGCAGCGGCACCACCCGCACAGATGTGAACCAAACTTTGGCAATAAAACCCAGAAGCTGATTGGTTACTATGCACAGCTGGACCAAATTCTGTGTGCACCAGGTTTAGTAATTCCCCCCCCCCCCCCCCATCCCCAAATATTTATACTGCTCAGACTACAGGATCAAGATACAAAGTAACAAAACAAAGTTACTTTGTGCTCTGTTTCATTCATCTGCTGATCAAAGATGAGCTTTGATCAACCTGACAAATAAAAGAAAAAACAAATCATAAATAAAATTCGTTCCAATTTATCCCTTTTTAACACTTATTTTCACCTTAATCAACCCAAATTCACTCCTTCTTCCCCTTTTTTTTTTTTTTTTTGTACTAATTTTTTTGTTTCCATTGTATCCAACCATTAGTATCAAAACTTTTTTATTATTACTTGTTTTTTTTTTTTGTTCTTTTATGCATTTAAATAAAATGCAAAATTAAAAAAAAAAATTATTTTATTTATAAATAAATGGGCAATGTCTATACCAGAATCATATTTTTAGTTTAATAGTAAACAGGACAAGTTATATAATAAAATGTACAGTATACTATTTAACTATGGTAACACTGAACAAAGTAGGAAAGGGGTGCTTTTTTTGTTAAACTTTTTGTCTATGGATTGCATAATAGAAAACAATTTTTGCAAGACAATCCCACCAAAAGAAAGCCATGTCACAGTTTACTACAGTGTATTACTGTAATACTTTATAATATATGTGAACCGTTGCCTTGTAAAATAACCCATTTGCTTTAAAATAGTAATGTAAGGCAAAACATTTGTTTATAAGTGTTTTTATATTTTTTTTCATAAGTGATCACATGACCTGTACTCTCTGTCACAAGGAGTCTTCACCCCTCTTTTGTAGCTAACGGGCATGGCAGTAGCAACTTAATCGGAGCACAGGCACATATAAAATGCAGAAATACACTGAGAAGAGCTGTGCAGGGGAGTACATGTGTCTCCATGCAGGCTGAGCTCCCAAGTAGAATGCAAAGAAGAAAACTGACCACGCTGGGATGGATGTGCTTCCATATCCTTGCGTGGTCAGTTTGCAATAGGAAAGCAGGGGGACTGGCAAGATCTCCAGGTATTTCACACAAAGGAAAAAATACTAAGTGAACAGGATACTTTTTAACACAAGTGCATGGTACAAAAAACACATATCAGGAATATGAAATGTTGGGGTGACATACACTTTAAGAGAAACTAATCAGTTTTGGCCAGTTCTATTTTAGTTGTTTTTAACCTCCATAGCGGTCTGATTATGTCCATATTTCTGTGCTCAAAGTGGTACATTTTTTTGCATGGAATATTTTTTTTTTTTTTTTTATTGTAGGCCTGTAATTTTTAGGAATAGCTCACTGAAATCTGTCCCAACAAGAGTCTAGTAAACATCCCGGGTATGTTAAAATTTGAAACACGAAATCATAATTTAATAATCATAAAAAATAATATAATAATACATTTAATTCAATACTATAATCAAACCAAAAACACTGAAATTTAAAATATAGCGCCAAGTTCGCACATCACTGAGCAAAGTTGCAAAATCATTTTCAGTGTCTGATGACGAATTTCCCCACGAATCATTATCACTCAATTCTGCAAGTAGTTCTAATTTATTATCACTGTTCTCTTGCTGGTCTAAAACCGATTTTGACCTAAAGGGACGCTTTTTGGACGCCATGGACATTACTTAATTTCCAGGCAGAAAGAACAGTAAAAATGCAGGCAGGGCACAGGACAAAGCATTAGGGACAAAATGTATGTGATATAGTTTGATACAGTAATGTAATACTTTGTTTTAGTGAATGTCACTTTTTGTCATTTTCAAATTTCCCACTGTTCCGTCCCCGTACGTCCTGACGTTGCAGGGGACGGAGCCCTGAAGACAGATGCTGGCATCCGCTGGAGGACATTACAGGGGACGCTGCAGGGGGGACATTGCGGGAGCGCAGGACAAAGTAGGTTCAGAAGAGATCCCAGAGCAGTGCCACATGGTATTCCCGAATGTAGTTCGGGGTTACCGCTTGTGGTACTGAAACTTTACCCTACACAATTTTTTAAACTATCTACATATAATTTTTTTTAAATAATTTTAGTACAGACTACTATGGAGTACTAGACTCCCCAGTCCTCCATAACAACCGTCCTTCAATGGCTAGCCATGGCTCATTCATATGCAAATCGCAGAGCTTATTCCTGGGACACAGCTGTGGTAGGATAACTGAACAAAAAAAGCAGTACTGTTCTGGCAAATCAAGGACAAATTGCATTTGGGCAAAGATATAGATGAAAATACGAGTAAGAGAGCTTCATCTATTTGATAAGATGAAGAATACAAAATAATATGCAATATTTCAAATTTACTTCTCTAAAAAAATTGAAGTTTTTAATTGTATTTTGATCCTTGACGATGAGACAATATGTGACAAAACCAGAATATGTTATCTTGAAGAGGAATGGACATTCTCAAGGGGTGGGGTGTTCACAGCCAAGAACTGAGTAGCACTTCTCTTTTTAATCTCCACAAAATGATACATTGAATCTAGTTAATTCAAGAAACAATTTCACTTTCCTCTACCTAGATTTTCATAAGGGGTCTATTTACACACTTGCAATGGATCAAATTGTGTTAGCATGCATTGCGTTAAGCTAGCCCGTTTATTAGGCATAGCCCTATATATTCTGCTTCCTGAGGAAGACATCTAAATGATTTGTGAAGGTGTCAACTCTCTTAGCTAGTGCCACTTCTTGGGGGCCGCTAGTGATAATCGCATGTAAAATCATGTTGTACCCAAGTTGATCGATCAAGTTGAGAACATTCAGCCTGCCCATACATGGTTTGAATTTCAGCCGGTTCCTGCTGAACTAGCCGAAATTCTAACCGACTTTGACTGGCTTAAGTTTTCAATGTTGACTTTTTACAATACTGTATGTGCATTTGTTCAATAAAGACTTTGGGGTTTATTTACTAAAACTACATGGTTCCAAATCTGGTGCAACCAGAAACCATTCAGCTTCCAAGTTTTATTGTTAAAGCTTCATTGAAAAAGCTGAAGTTTTTAGAAGCTGATTAGCTGCCATGCACAGCTGCACCAGGTTCTGTGTGCAATAGTTTGAGTAGATCTCCACCAGTATGCTTTCAATGTGAAAAGCAGAAAGCTGATGTAAGAGCCCAAAAAAAAATACAAATTCAAAATGCCATTCCAAATTTACAGGGAAAGCAAGCACTGCTTATCTCTTCACAATACATACACTGTGCATTGGATTTTACAGGGAGAGCAAAGACACATTCAGTGTTTGTTATGTGCTTAAAATGTCTTTATGTCCAGATCCTCAAGCATTGGTCTGGAGCCAGATTGTGTTCTTTGATGTTGTGCCATTAACCATTCAGCAGCTCTTACCATGCAGCCCCCAGGCATGGTGAGTAGAGCGGTATAAAAGACTCTTACAATCTGCTCTGCCCTGAGTTTGCCTGTGTCACCTCTGCCACCCAATTCACAGCATTGAAATATATCTAGGATGTGTGTTTTTGTACTACTGTCCTTGTTTAGGGTTACATTCTGTCCTAGAAAAACACAAACGTGCTTGCTGGGTTTCAACACACATTTCTTATGGTGTAATATAAAAATAGAATTTCATGGATTTGATTGATCCCACTGATGCTGCCACTGCGGCACCATCAGCATCTTGAACCAGGCTGTGATAAAATGTATTTTCTTTTGCCATTGTTGTTTAAGCACTGGAAAGCAGTTTGACAAGAAAAGGGTGAATATTTTTGGTAGAGAAGGCAACTGCCTTCAAGGAGTCTCTTGAAGGGTTCTATCAGACAGGCAGTAAGCTTTCTGCTCTCTGAAAGTGATCTGCAATGGATTGCTTTTCAAAGGGTGGTATAGCAATGGTTGACAGGTGTTCCGGAAGTACTACTGCTGTCCCTTGATTTCTGTTTCATTATTTTTTTTTTATCTTTTTTTTTTTTCTATTAATTGCTGAACTGCAATTTGACATTATGGGACTGCGACGCAACTGTAAGTTTTAAGCACTTGTCTCGTGGTTGTAGTACTGCCCCTTTGATCTCAATGGGCGAGTTTGACAGGCTGTGCCATCTGCCAAATTCAGCAACCCGAGTTAAAACACTGTAACCACGTAGCAAAGCATCACAGCTTTGGCATGTGTGCAGCCCTCTCAGGCTGTATTTTCAGAATTCGGGTGGATGGCTGGGGGGGTAGTAAATACATATAGGTGTCTTTCATACAATTAGGGGAGATGGAGCATGTTGCTCTGCAGGGAGACATTGTATGGTAGCAGTCAGGGTTTTCTTTACATATCATGCTTTAGCCAGTCTACAACTACAAATTGCTGTGTGGTCTCATTACTTGTAAAAAAAAAAAAAAGAAAAGAAAAAAAAGCCATGTATGTTGCTGTCAACCCTAAGAGACAGCAAAAGCAAGGCTGTTGTCATGACAGTCTACATAATAAATGTAGAGAGTACATATGTGCTGAACATGAAAGAAAGCATTAGGAACATATGACTAGGGCAGCTATTCCGTCAGTCAATGGGTGTTGGTGGTTCACCACTACAGTAACAGTGTTGCAGTGATGTGCTGTGTGGGATGTGACCTGTCTAGTAGTGGATCTACCAGTTGACAATGGTGTGGCTGTATGACATATGAATTGATAAGCATGTACTACATTGGACAATGTATGTGTGGCTGTATTGACAATGGTCTGGCTGTATGACATATGAATGATAAGCATGTACTACTACATGGTGTTGGACATATGAATTGATAAATGGTGTGGCTGTATGACATATGAATTGATAAGCATGTACTACATTGGACAATGGTGTGGCTGCTGTATGACATATGAATTGATAAGCATGTACTACATGGACAATGGTGTGGCTGTATGACATATGAATTGATAAGCATGTACTACATGGACAATGGTGTGGCTGTATGACATATGAATTGATAAGCATGTACTACATTGGACAATGGTGTGGCTGTATGACATGGTGTGGCTGTATACATAGGAATTGATAAGCATGTACTATATTGGAAGATGAGCCAATTTCAACTTAGGCAGTGCCTGTCCTTCTTGAATTGGTTGAATTGGGGATGGTATTCTCTTTAGCCAGCATAGACTGTTGCCAACAGCTCTGCCTTCCTAGGCCACAATCAGCTGTCTGCACATGTTGCTGCTGCCTGCCAGTGTAATATATTTTCTATAAAAGCCAGGTATTTATTGTTGCTGTTCTGTTTTTACAGTTTCTTTGGTGGTATGGAATACTGTAAATTTACATCCTAAATCTGCACAACTAGAACCTAACTTTGTGTGTGAACTGGTTTCTTTTTCTGGTTGTGTGAATATGGACTCCATTCTGTCTCCGCAAGTCTGTTTCAGGTCTTGGTTGTGTCAGCATAGTGATTTTGCATCAGTATGGCAATATTACTGATATTAATCTGACCTCTTGCGTACAATCCTGTTGATGTATGTGTGACTTGGGATAGTCCTAGACCTGACCTGAGATGGAAGCCAAAAGTTCTGACCAAACTGAACCATTCTGGAGAGTTCCCTGCACATGCACTTCAGCCAAGTGTTCATGCCCATTTATTGTACATGTAATGAGAGGCATACCAAACCATCAACTAAGGGCGAAGAGGAAGGTGACAACAGACTTATCCCTGGGGACAGGTTATCCCAAAAGTGCGTTTCTCTGGATGATGGCAAAGGTTTATGATTGTGATGAGGGAATACTGCCATCCAGTGGTTAGTGTTGGTGCTTTACACGTATTTTTTTATATGCTTTCATTTTAAAGCAGTATCATGCATGGCATACGTAGGCTCATGTACACTGCAGCTGATAAACTCTTGTTTAGGAACTTTTCTGCATTTTTTTTCAGCAGCCCCTGAACTCACCTAATGTTTTCCTATGTGTCCATGTACACCATGTCGTTTACAGTCATTCACAGGCAGTTGATTTTACAGTTGTTTTTTTGAACGCACCAAACTTGCGTTCAGGAGTAGATTTTATCAGTGTTTCAAACGCCAAATGCTTGTAAACACGGCTAACCACGTTTACAAGCGTTTGTGTTTGGAAATTTTTTTTAACTCTTCCATTTCCAAATGCTGTCCAGAGCCTTTTTTCATCATGAAAAATGCATGCAAAGTGTTTTTTCCCAGTATTCAAATGGACCTGATACAGCATATTTTAAGGTTTTGTAAGAAAGAAAATATGTTAGACACTGCTGCAATAATTTCTGCACAGAAATCAGCTGGAACACATCCAAACACCACAAAAAAGACAGCTAATCTCAACAAATACTGCTCTCTCTATTTCACTCAAAATGTCTGAAATAGTTAATTTTTTACTGTTTTTCAGTGCATTCTGGGCATTTTGGAAGGTCTCCTGAGGTTATCTTTAAAAAACGCTTCTAAACGCAAACGCTCATAAACGCTGTATGCAAATGCGGCTAAACAGATGTTTTTTATAACCTACGTTTTCCAGCAGTCAGTTTCCATCGTTCAGAAGTGTTTTCCAAATGTCCCGTGTACATGGAGCCTTAAAAGCAACTACAGTATTTATTTTTTTTTAGGGAGTGCTTTTTTCAGTGTTTTTATGGTACTAATTACAATACAATACTGTTAAACAATTACATTCTTACTTGCTTGCTGTGCGATATTTATCCTTATTGCATTTTATTTATTTATTAAATTTGTATATCTCTTATATTTTCAAATTTTTTTCTTTATTGGCTTTATGTTTTCAGAATTGTAATTCATTTATCAAATTTTTAGATTTCTTATCCTGTCATATTTTACTACAGTCACGTGGGGGGAGATTTACTAAAACTGGAGCGTGCAAAATATAGTGCATCTCTGCAGAGAAACCAATCAGCATCCAGGTATTCTTGTCAAAGCTTATTGAATCAGCTGAAATTAGAAGCTGGTGCAGCTGTGCATAATAGCCAATCAGCTTCTGTGTGCTCCAGTTTTAGTAAATCTCCCCCTTACCCCAGGTTCACACCTTAGCGTTTTCTGCAGCGTTTTGCAGAAACGCAGTACAGTCCATTTACCATGATTTCCTATGGGCATGTTCACACCAGTGCATTTTTTGGAAAGGGTCAGGGACTTTTTTTGAACGCAAAAAGTTGCATTTTTGTTTCTATAGACGTCAATGGAAATGCTGCAGAAAAGCATGCATTGCATTTTTGCCGCGGTTTTGATGCGTTTTTGCCACGTTTTTGATGTGTTTTGCTTTTTAAATCTGTCTAGCAACAAGAAAAATTGAAAAAAAAAAAAAAAAGCAAGTGCAAAATTTAATGCAAAACGCAATGCAGAAACCGCTCAAATGCAACCTGCATAGGTGTGAACCTAGCCTTAGTCTTCCTAATTAACAACTATAGGAAGATCTCAATCACTTAAAGCCCAGCTTCAGTGAACTTAAAAATTATCCATTGTAGTGGGGCTGTTTGTTCTGTTCAGGGGAGAGGAGAAGCACTTTTACTTATCTGATACTTTGCTTTCCTGGTAGGAGGCACTCCCCCATACTCCAGTAAAGGACTGTCCCTCAGCATCATCACGTCTAGTGCCAGGCTATGGACCCTGCAATGGTCTCGATGATGTCAGCACCTTAGACCGCTGGAGCATGGAGGAGATAATACTACGGAGACTTGTCTAACAGCATGGAGAATTGGGTAAATTAACCCTTGCAGTGCAGGCATAGAACCGGAGAATTCCATTAGTAACTAAGACACATTTATTGTGAAGCACTACTAAAATGGCAAACATGGCCACTACTATGTACATATATATATACTTTAAACTGTACACAACAATACAAAGACGAAGTGAAAAACAGATGCTGCGCTCACTTAGGAATCCCAGGATAGGCACATGCGGAATCTGAATAGTCGGTCTCTGGCTCCAAGTGCCCTCCAAACACCTGAACAGATTACAGATAGGTGAGAAGAGCTGGCAACTCACACATCCATATCAAAGTCTTCAATGAAGACTTTGATATGGATCTGCAAGTTGCCAGCTCTTCTCACCTATCTGTAATACAAAGGCAAGTACCTCCTGTTATAGACAATAGCTCCCTTTAAGGCTGTCAAAAAAAGATTGATTCTATTGGGTGTCACAAGTGGATGTGTCAAACTGGTATTTTTGCAGCATGCTTGTGCCTTCCTTGATTCCTCTAGCCAATCTAATCCTGTGCCTTTTCCCATCCAGGGCGATTACCAGTTTCTTTTGTAAGAAGATCCCCCATTTCTTCCAGTTATGGAGGAGCAAGTGATATCCTCTCTGTATGCAGAGTGACTACTCACAAGTCTATGACAGGCTGAAAAATGAGGCAGGACACTGTACCGAGTGCTACTATGCATACAGAGACCTAAATATGGAACACAGAATACCTGGGGGTGGATATATGAGTCTGCAATGTGGTCCTATGGCGATACATCCTTGTCATATTTAGGTGTACCTTGTAAAAGTGTATGAATACTATAGGCACACTACATTCACTGCTAACTGATCGTGCCAATGTACTGTGAGATGTAGATGTATTTTTAGTAATTTCCTAGGACCTGGAAAATTGTCAATTATTTCTCTTGGGTAGAAAAGTTATGAAAGACGTGTAGATGGTGAGATGACAGTATGGAATGTCATACAAGGATTCTGTATATAGTTATGTTTTGATGTATGAATATGCTAAACTATTGTACTAAACAAACTTTTGTGCTTTTTTGCAGGTTCTAAACCTGACCATGGAAAGGCTGGCTATTTGTTTGCTGATAATAAGCACATCTGCAAAGGCCATGATGTGCCCTAAGAGATGTTCCTGCCAGAATGTCTCTCCATCCTTCACTATTCTCTGTACCAAGACCGGCCTTCTATTTGTGCCCCCTACCATAGACAGGAGGACAGCAGAGCTTCGACTCATGGACAATTTCATAACCACTCTTAGAAGGAAAGATTTTGCCAACATGACGGACCTCATTCACTTAACACTCTCCCGAAACACCATTAGTCAGGTCATGCCTTATGCATTCTTTGACCTAAAAGGGCTCCATGCCTTGCATTTGGACAGCAACAGGTTAACCTTTGTCAGTGAAGAACATTTTAAAGGTTTAATTAACCTCCGACATTTGATCTTGAGTAACAACCAGATCCATTACATAGCTCCGGGATCATTTGATGACTTTATCGACACCGTAGAAGATCTGGACTTGTCCTACAACAATCTTATTGACATTCCATGGGAGACTATTGGGAGGCTCTCCAGTGTTAATACAGTTGGACTTGATCATAATCTAATTGAATATGTTCCAGAGGGAATCTTCTCCAATCTCCATAAACTGGCCAGATTGGATATGACCTCTAACAAACTAAAAAAGATTCCACCGGACCCATTATTTTCTAGGATTCCGGTTTATGCCAAATCGAAAGGATCCCCCTTAACATCATTGGTGCTCAGCTTTGGTGGGAATCCTCTTCATTGTAACTGTGAACTGATGTGGCTTCGGCGGCTTACTAGAGAGGATGACCTGGAAACATGCGCCTCACCCCCAGAGCTGATGGGTAAATATTTCTGGTCAATAAAGGAGGAGGAATTTGTTTGTGAACCTCCTATGATAACTCATCGAACTTCCAAGCTAGAGATCATGGAAGGTAAAAGTGTCTCATTAAAATGCAAAGCAGTAGGTGACCCTGATCCTTACGTAAGATGGATTTCTCCTGATGGGAAACTGGTCTCTAATACCACTAGGACTATGTCATATGACAATGGGACTTTGGATATTTTCACCACCAGGTTCACAGATCGTGGAAATTTTACCTGCATTGCATCCAATGCCGCAGGGGAATCAACTGCAAATGTGGAGCTAGTAGTCAACCAATTCCCCAACCTTGCAAACAGCACCAGCTATGAGAAGGAAATCGAGTCAGGGCTTTCTGATATCCTGACGCCTGCCAAGTCTAGCATTCCATCCAATGAAACTAAATCTCTGCATGATAGGAAGGTTGTGGTTGCAGAGTTGACCTCATCCTCGGCACTCATCCAATGGCCTCCCCAGAGTCACATCCCAGGAATAAGGATGTACCAGATTCAGTACAACAGCTCATTAGATGACATCCTCATTTACAGGTAATTCTGCTCAGCTAAGAGCGAAATCCAAATGGTTAGAAAATAACTTTGAAGCACTGCAGGCAGATGTGTTAATGACTCCAGCATTATTTTAAGGGTTAGAGTTAGAGACTTGTTAGTCAGAACAAACTGTCTAATTAATAAAAACAAGTGGACAGGAAAGGGGATTTTTTTTCCAGTAACTTCTCCTTTTCTGCATATGCTGTATGATTTGATTTAAAGAAAAAAAGCATACTGTTGAACATGGATGGAAACTGTGATCCCTTACTTAAGATGGAAACTTAAAAGTGAAACTCATGTACTGTATTTTTATTAACCAGAAAAGTCTCTCCTTTAGTTCTCTCTGCTTTGGTTTTCCCTTACTTCTAGGGACCTTATTTCTGGGCAAATTCTTGACCAGTTGCCTTTCCTCCTGTTCAATGAGAGTACTTCAGTGGCTAATAAGTACACTTTTATTTGACAAAGGCAGGTGCATGGAGGTTAGCAGGCAGGTATGGCAATACCCCCCTAGTAGCAAACTAAAGATGGTCATAGACATATAGATTTTTTTTTTTGTTCAGCCTGTGGACAAAAAAAAACACTAACTGTTTCCCCATCAATGTATTTATTACAGGTACTTGTATAGAGCTGTCAATTTACGCAGAGCTTTACATATGTATAGTACATTCACATCAGTCCCTAACCCTCAAGTAGCTTACAATCCCTAACTCACATTCATACATAATAGGACCAATTTAGATAGAAGCCAATTAACCTTCCCAGCATGTCTTTGTAGTGTGGGAAGAAACCAGAATACCCGAAGGAAACCCATGCAAGCACATAGAGAACATGCAAACGCTGTGTAGGTAGTGCTGTGGTTGGGACTCGAACCAACCAACGACCCCCATGCTGCCAGGCAGAAGTGCTAACCACTGTGCTGCCCTATACAGCCCAGATAGACAAACCCCCCTGCTTCAGCTCTTGTGTTTTGACAGCCAGTCCTACTGGCTACCAAACTATATGATTGGATGCAGCCACTGCTCAGCCAACAGTTTTCGCCTGGTTACTTTGATTTTTCAATCAAAGGATATCAGGCGGAAGGTTCCAACATGGCCACTCACTAAGCACATTTTGTCTGGTTCTTCAGGAACTGACCGAAATATTTAAAGAGCATGGCCAGTTTAAATCAGAGGACAACAGAAGAGATATTTCTGGTTAACCAGGTTAATATTTCAATCAGAAGGTGCTTTGTATTGCCCTGTGTAAATCTCCCTTGCACTGTGAGATGAAACGTGACACTGTGGGCTTTATTGATACAGTTACCTGGGGAGACAAACAGCTGCTCAGATCTGTGGAAATTGGTTTATGAAAACTGGTACATGGAACACTGGAACAAAAGTGGAGAAGTTTCCCAGAGCATCCAATCAGTCTTTGTTTTTCATGTTCATGTTCCTGCAAAAATGCCAGCAGCTTAGAGCGGTGCCGGTTTAAAATCCGTAGAGGCCCCTAGGCAGTTGAACCTTGGGGCCCCCTCGCAGGTTCCTGGGGGTTTCTCATGCATGTGCTCTAGTGGGATAATATTGAACTAAATAGTGTGCACGTCAGCCGCTAGATGGAAATGACCATCACTACTGTACAAAAGTACGTAGGTTGCACCAAAATTGACAGCTGAAAGAAGATGAGGTTTTAAACTGGTGCTAAAGGCTCAAGGTTTTTTAAATTCATGCATTCCATGCATGAAGGTAAAAAACTTTCTGTGTGCAGGGCCCCCCAGCCCTCACCAATCCTTACCTGAGCCCCCTCCGATCTAGAGATGTTCTTGACAGCCTCAGCTGTCTGGGGACTCTTCCTCCTCATTGGTTGAGCCAGCAACGGCAGTCTATTGGCTCCTGCTGCTGTCACTCACAGCCAGTGAGTAGAGAGGGGGGCGGGGCAGAGCCACAGCTATATGTGTCTTATGAACTGTCAAGGTCCTACCTTTTCCCAGAGGTTATGTTACTCCATGTGCTGGCATCCATCTTGGATTTCTGCTGAGCATGATGGGAATCTTTTATGCCTTCAGGTCTCTGAGGTCCATCCCCCAGAGGGGTGTGGCTGAGTACATATAAGCCTGGGATCTGCACATGCTCTTTGCACTTGTGTCTTGTGTCTTTGTCTTGCTACAGCTCTGTGTATACGCTCGTGACTCTTCTGGTATTCTGACTCGGCTTGTGACTAAGACCATTCTCTGTGTTTCCCTTTGATCTGACCTTCCGTTGCTGAACCCGGCCCGTGACCTGTGATTCTCTGTCTACTGTTCTGTACTGTTTTGTCCCATTGTTGTTGACCCGGCTTGTCTGACTACGCTATTGTCATTCTCACCAGCTACACGCCATTGGCGGCGGCCATTACCGCAGCCGGGGTGTCTCGGGGGCCGCGACCTGGTTCCTGGCTGCGTCAAGTCCATCCCCACCATCAGGGGCCCTGGTGAAGGGCAGCCTGGGACTTAGACTCCGTTTCCTGAGGGACTTCGGTCTGTTGGGGGTGGTTGTTGTCAGCCAGTGCATTACCCTGCCACTAGGCCTACCTGTCCGTTCCACAGCCCTGCCCTGACATGAACACATAAAGCAGCAGCTCGGGGATGAGCACACAGAGGTGCCCCCAGGGCTAGCGACTTTCCCTAGGGGTGCTGCTTGAGGAGTAGAAGTCAGGAGAGCTGGAAGGGACCCAAAAAGAAGAGGATCTAGACTTCTCTGTGCAAAATCACTGCACGGAGCAGGTAAGTATAGACATGTTTTTGTATTTTCAAAAAAAAAAAAACTAATCTTTAGTGTCACTTTAAGAGACAAATTGTAATGTGAACCTGATGTCTTTGATTTATGAACTTTAAGTTGTTATTGGGTACATTATATTAATACAGTATTTTATCTATAAAGTTTTCATCTCTTTGATTTGATTCATTTTTTTCTATCCTTTGTAAACCATTGAAGAAAGCTTCTATGTAATTTTCTTTCAAATCAGTACTAGTTTTATCCATTGTCATGGGGCCCTTAAAGTGTTACTAAACCTACAACAGTAAAATCCGTCTGTATATGCAGTAAAGCATGCTTGTTATATTCACTGTGTAACCTAAGGGGTTAATCCTCTGCATTGTGTAAAAACGTTGTTTGATCCTGAATTATGATCCTCTGATCCTCCCCTTCTTCCAGTGTCTCAATTATCTCCTGATAAGAGATATCATGTGGAATCACTCTGCACATACTCAGTTTGGTGTTTATTGCTACAGAGGGTTTTTTTTTTTTTTTCCAATCTTTGGCCCTGTGCTGATCACATGCACTCTCCCATCAGCACTGTCCAGACAGTGGTCAGGGGTTCTGCATCCTCCTGAAGCAAAATGAAAAAAACTCCTACAAGCTTTAACTAGTGCTCAGCTGGACACTAATAGAAGTCACAAAACTGCTTTAGACAGCTGATGAGAAAAACACTTTAGTTAGCAGTTTATATTTACTGAAGTAATTGCATTTCCATGTACTGTGGGAGACCTGATACAGTGAATGCAAGGTCCTTGGTTTAGTAACACTTTAAATGTTCTAGAGCCCATAGGCCAGTGCCTACTCTACCTATTTGGTAATCCGACCTTAGCTTAGAGATGTGGAAGGTTACATTTGGTATTAAAAGGATTAGCCTTGTATAGGGGAAATGTTGGAATATTATTATTTCTATCGCAATGACAATTTCCGCAGTGCTTTACACAATGTACATTCACATCAGCCCCTACCCTTATGGAGCTTAAAAACTCTCACCTGCACACTAGGGTCAATTTAGACAGGAACCTATTAACCTACCAGCATATCTTTGGACCGTGGGAGGAAACCAGAGTATCGGAACTGGGGAAACCCATGCAAACTCCATGTAAGTGATGATCTGATTGAAAATCAGAACAGTGTACCCTAGTGCTGCAAGGTAGAAGTGCAAAACAACTAGACACTATGCTGCCCAATAAAAGACAGCATATATACACATACATCCAGGCTAATCTAAGTGCAGATGGGTGTATGGAACCTTGGCTGGTCTGTGCTGAACCAGTTGATATTTATAGAAATGTAGAAAAGTGATGGCAGAAAAAGACCGAATGGTACATCAAGGTTTTTTGTTTTGTTTTTTTGGGGGGGGGGTTGTTTTTTATAGAATATAGATCTATGCTTGTCCCTATGTTTGAAGCTATTTACTGTTGACTGGCTCACTACCACTGCTGGATGTTTATTCCAAGCATCAACTACTCCTTTCAGTAAAATGGTAATTTTTGAGATTAGTTTTGAACTTTCCTCCAGTTAATTTAAAGTCATGTCCCCTTGTTCTTGATTTTGGCTTCATGTTGAAAATACTGCCCTCCTGAACCTTATTCACCCAGTTGATGTATTTAAAGGTTTCAATCATGTCTCCCCTTTCCCTTCTTTCCTCCACACTGTACATGTTAAGTTCCTGAAGTTGCTCTTGATATGTTTTATCCCCCAGACCTTTCTATTCATCTATGGCCAGCTTTAAAAAAAAAAAGTAGCCAACTCAAAACCCTGCACTCTAGGTTACATTTTGGCCCAATTTATATTATGAAGGGTTCTTACACTCTCTGTTTTTATACCAGGGGTGCTCAACGTTTTGAAGCTTGAGGGCCACTTAAGTGATTTGGTAACCAGTCGTGGGGCCACAATGAAATTAAATGGTTCAGAAAGTAGCATAATGAACAACTTCTTCCTGCAGCTGCTGAATGCCAGCGGGAGGGAGAGGAGGAGAGAGAAACTGTTTTTCAGAGGTTGCAGGAGGAAAATAGAGAGGATTGGTTCCCGTATATGCCACTCTCTGCTGGCCCTCCTGTCCAAGTGTAAAACACAATGTGGCAGGGAGGCTGCACAGGTCCCCTGGAGCATGGGGTGGGGTTGCCATTGCAACTCCTGACGCTACAACAGCGGTTAGAGGTGTGTGGTAAAAAAACAGGTCTCAACTATAGGGTTTTATAATCCCCCCCAACTGCAAATGTAAACAAACCCT